AGCAGAGGTTCACGCGCTGGAATTTCTTCTTTGTCAACGGCATGTGGTACAACATGAAATATATCTTGTGCAGCTGGAACCTCGGGTTCTGGGAACTGGGTGCAAAGCTGTTTGTTTTCCAAGAGGTTGGTTCTATCACTGCGAAGATGTGCTATGGCACAGGAAATAAGATCTCCTGCTTACCCACTAAAACCAGGTCTACGAAACACTATTATATCTCCTCGCTCCCTTCGTCCTACCGATCTCTCTTGTTGTCCAACCAGCATTCTGCGGCATCATGTTGGGCGTCACCAACGGCTTGTACTTTCTAAACGTCATCATCTTCAACCTGGTACATCTACGCCTGAAGAAGGAAACCGTCACCTGGAAATGCTTGCTCCTCTACTACATGCCGTACAAAATCGTCCTCTTCATCATAAACGTCGTCAGCTGTTACTGGTCCCTCTTCAAGTACGCCCGGTATTTCGCCACAAGACATCCCAAGGTCATCGAGGATGACAAGGCTGTGGAGGTAGTGCTGCGTCTTGAAGATACTACAGAAAACAACAACGAACCCAAGCCGACGAACAAGGCACCGGGTCTGGGTCGGAGTTTCTCAGTGACTAAGGTCAGGGCTAGGAAGACTAGCAATGCCGGTGCGAAGCCATCGGGGCCTGGAGGGGTTTCTGTTGCTGGTGCTGATGGTTCTTGGATTTGATTGAACCCCTACTCTCATCGGTATATATTTAGACTATCTTATTTTACCATTAATGTACATAATTCTTCTGAAAAGTCTATAGAATCGTTCAAGCGTATGGAAAAACTATTGATTTTTGACTCTTCTCCGGGTTGTAAGGCACTAGCAGGGGGTGTTCTCTGGGTATTCTACAAAATTCAATGGATTGTGATGAGTTTCCTATTCAAGCATTCCCTAGTTATTGCTGTGAAGTGTACGGAGGCCTATTTTAATCAGCATATTCCCTCTGGGGGAATTCTGGCCCCTGTCACTTTAGATCTGCGAATAAGTGGATGAGTATAAGGTGCTGCTATTCATTGCCAGAATCCTATTCACATCTCTGATAACCCGAAAAATATTGACTCAACCGTAATATTCCATCTACGCTTGCAGTGAACAGTCTGGAAGAACTTGAGCTTGGAATATGTCCAGGGAATCTGCCGATGCTGAATTGGAACATCCCACATGTATTAATTAATTTAATGCACATCTTTGCCCATATTACAGGGCTTCGTACCTTGCACTTATGTCCTGGTCTTATCCGGGTAGAAATTATGGTTCCTTGCACAGCAGACAGTACCTATACAGGCTTCTTCAAGATGACATGATCATGAAGCACCTTCACTCTCAGCTATATCGGGAGAGTATCTTTGTATATAGTGCATATACGTTAATGGCGCCTTTCACTCTTTCCAATAGAAAGAACAAAATGCCATATCCATTTTATTGCAGCAGCAGATTTAATAAAAGTAACGAGCAATTGAATATCAAAGACAACGACTATAAGAATGCAGTCAACCCCCTTCGTTCATCATTTCTTTTCAATTATTCGATTAATCTTGACTCCACAGACTCAGTTGGAATTCTTTAACGGATGACTGGTCCTAAATAATCGACCATCTTCCCATAAGGCAGGGCACTGCAGGATCCCATTGTCGCCCGAATCCAAAGATCTAGAGCTATTTCCATCAACGGAGCATGCTATCGGATTCTTCGGTTCCAGAGAGGTTACAGAGTTTACAAAAGCTCTTCACTATGTCTGGGAGGAGTAACGATCAAAATGATCGAATACATGCACGAACACGGGCTATAATACTCGATACATCCTTGCCTCAGGACTCATGAATGGTAAGTACATAGGGTATTGATAGCATCACTTGCGTGCTAAGACTATGATATAGACTTTATGATTGTGACTATAATGCCCTACATCCTTTGCCACACTCATACCCTTCTGCCTCGACCTGGAGGCATTTTGGAGGCTCCAAATTGATTTCCTATAGAACGACAATCAAAGGCCTTTTGAGATCGTCATCAAGGGATGAACAGTGACAAAGTTAATACAAGACTCAAGGACACTAGCAAAGCCACACAGTATTGCTACGACCCTACCAATGTTTCATTGGGGCGTAGCTCAATATTTGCATATGGTGACACCAAATGACCAGAGCTACCCTATCCGTGGGTCAAGTCTCTAATCTGTATCCAACGGAAACAGAGAGAGAGTACAAGTACTATAAAGGGGCTGGAAAGGCCCTCGCGGTCTTAAGGAGAAATTCGAGGAGAAATGGGCGTTACCAATAAGCCAAGCAACGAAGGCACATATACTATAAACCCTTTGAAAAAAGCACATACGGCAGCTATAAGAGAGCATAAAAAGATGGATCCAATTCATAGGATACGGGGATACAAAGGAACAACAGCTTTCATAACCATGGGTCAAGGCACCCAACCCGTATATTCAAAGAAACGGAAGAGTTATATGGGTTGTTGAGGCTGTCGACGAGGCTCATGGGGCAGTTGAGGAATATCTTAAAAGGGCATGCGCCTAATCTATCTTTCCATGGACTTGGTGTAGGGCCACGACATCTCTCTAGGTCAAACACTGCCGGCCGGGGACATAATAATTATTACGCCATACAACGCCCATGGAATACCACTGGCCAGTTTAATGACAGCCACATTCATCTTGTCACTTCTCACCCCCAGAGCATCGACCGTGTCAAACCCCGGCCCCATTAGCCTCCTGTCGTTGAAGCTACACCCGTTTCGCCATTTTGCTCGAACTTTCTTACGGTATCCAGTAAAAGGTGGTGCCGGTGTTAACCCTGACTGGCAGAATGCGAAGTCAGGGATTCTGATATCTCCATCGATGTATGACGCGATTCCCTACTGGGCTCTGTCATATCTTATGACCCTATTCATGAGCAAGCTCGGATGCGCGCCTGTCTATCTCAAGCTTACAGACGTGGCATCGGGCCGCTCATCGAGCTTTACATGTGGGGACGTACAAGAACCAGGTCTCACGCAATAGCAACAGTTCCGGTCTGAATAGCCTGCACTTCTAGATGGTCGCCGCGGGCCCAAACGAGAATCGGGTAAAGACGATCAATTCAATACAGAGCGTCGAGGAGCCCGTCGTGATCCTCGATGCCACCGCGACGGACGGTCTAGGGTTCCATGAAGATCCAAGATGTATCGCATCGTCATGGTCGTCGAATGGAACAAGACAACACGGTGGAAAGGGGCGTCCGCTACGTTGACGAGAGTACCAATACGCAAAAGGGAATTTAACCGCTGTCTTGACGATATCTGGAAGGGTCTCCTGATTGAAGCTCTAGAACTGGTAGTAATCAAACCGTCGGTACCTAATCACTACGAACTTCTTACTCAAGAGAAATTATTTCCTTCCCCACTTTCCCAGTATTGCTTGCCTCGTCGTTCGGTGTTGCCATACCTATCACGCCCAAGCCGGTTCCAAATATGAGTTGGAAGGGGAATCTCACTGCTGAGACATACATACTGTACTAAGAATATATGGCTCGCCTCAACCCCGGAGGACAATATATCCCCTCGTGGTGTTGTACCCGACGATAGCAGAAACCTAGGTTAGCAAGAGAGCACTGCTGCCAGGCAGCAGACTTCAAAGGCAAAGGCGGATCTGGCGCAATAGCAAAAATATGTTTAATAGGCTTTACTAAACCAAGCACATGTCAGATATGCTGCCCAATCGTGGCTGATCTGCCACCATATCTTTCGGCAGTCCAGTCATATCTGAGCTTGTCGTACACAGAGAACACAGGGAATCTCTTGGCCCAAGTGGTCTAAGTCACTCTGTCCAAGTGCCTGTCTTTCCTCGATACATGCATGAGGTTACACCTGTGTCTGCAGGGTCATACCGCAACATTCATGTATTGAGAGTGCAGTTCACTCTTGCCTGGTCTTCTGGGAAAACTTTCACAGCTCAGGTCGTTGTTGGAGTTGCGGGCATAGAGCAACCTGATATGTACATGAAGTCCGGGCGGACGGATCCATAGCCGAAATGTCCATAGCATCACATGATTGTCTGAAAAGCTGGCCTGCGAGGAAGACATCATACTTTGAATGAACGAGCACGCAGCTCTACATTCTACTACTTACAAATCAGCGAATGTCTGTCTCGAGACTATCCACAAAACAGCGTCCTAGAGCTCATTAATGTGGACTTTCGGGTAATACCTACATTGTTGCAGATATTATGCTGGAAACTACGGATGTTCTTCTTGGACCTTCGCCATCTTCTTCGATATCACTAGGAGTTACAGAGCTTGTGCTATAGTGCTGATACTGCTGACTATGATACTGCTCCTGGTGCTACCGAGTGTCAGGACCGGTTCTTATGGCTCACACTGAACAGGGTCGTTAGGTTTCATGGTGGATTTTGATTACCCAGAACATTGAGATACGCGCAGTGTATCAGTATCAAAGGTTATAGAAATATAATAACCATGCAAGCGATGAATTTTCTCAATCACTGGCCTTTGGGAATCTGCATAGAGTCCTTGTTGTTCATCATGCTCGGGAAAAAGAATGCTTTGAGTAGGGAAAGAATGCAAGTAATGGGGGCTTCTATGTGCGGGATCCAATTGCAAACAAAGTGGAACGAGTGTCCTCTTAGGATTTCATATGAGTCAAAAGCAATGTAACTATTTCTGGTAGCTGCCTGGTACTCATATCGTAGAGGCTTCTTGTCGGTTTGCAGTCTAGTTTGTAAAGTTGCAAGATGCTAGAACCCCTAATGTCTGAAAAAAGTCTTGTTGCTTCAATACTGCATACTGTTGTAGATCTCATAGAAAACATGGGTAGCAATAGCATTCTTTTAACTGACCCACGTGTTGTGATGAATGTAAGTCCTTCCTGGTTTCTAGGAACACTTTATAACCACAAGCTTCTACTCTATCATCAATGCTAACCACTTCCGCCAGACAAAACGGCATTTAGAAAGAATGAGTCCATCCATTCGCCCTTAATTGGGACTGCGAATCTTCTCATACTCAGGCAATGCCCATTTCACCATCCATTCCGACTCAAAGACCTGTTGAGCAGAAGGGCGATCTTCCGGCCTGAAGCGAAGCATAGAGCGTAACATCGAGATGAAAGCATCACGTTCCCTTGATTCAAAAAGCAGCATTCCCTCCCGTATTCGCGACTGCTGCATGTGTGTTTCGAACCGATCCTCCCATGCCTGAGTCGAAGATGCGGGAGGTTGTTGAGTCGACTTACTACCCTTGTCTCGAATTTCTTTCTATTTTGTGAGCCACTCGGAAGGCAGCGGGCCAAGTAGGTCAACTTGTTGGCTAGTCATGTCGTCATCATTTGTAAGGAGGCCTTCAAATAGTGTTCTTTGTCCCATAATATTCCAGATGGTGCAGGCAAGTGTCCATATATCAGACGAAAAGGTCAGAGGCCGGGTTGGCTCAAACCGGGCCTCCGGGGGACGGACCAGCAGAGGTGTATGAGACTTGAATTTCCGTTCCTGCGTCGGACAGAATGCCTCGCCAAAGTCTGAAAGACATATCGTGGCTTCTGGGAGCGCCACATTCTCACTTGCGGCTCCGAGCCATATAGGTATTACACCATGTTGTGGCACCTCTGGCGGAATTTCTCGACCGTCCAGTCGATTGACTAGCTCGGGAACCGGCTCTCCATACTTTTCGTACAGCATTTCAGTCGACAGCTCATCAAAGTCTCGGCAAAGCCGAAGTAGAATATTCCCACGGTGAAGGTCCCCATGGACGATACCTTGGGAGTGGATGTACTGGATAGCAATCATGAGCTGCGCTACTATCGCTCGGGATACCTCGAGCTGAAAGAGACTGATCCATGATCCATTCTTTGCATCCGACAGGCTCATTCGTGCTGGTCTGGTGACCAAGCATGTGTGATATCCATTGGGGCCTTTTATGTTGAAGATATCTGAGATTGTAGGAATCAAATCACGGTCTATGTGTGACGATTGCTTGGGTTGCGACAACCTGGACAGCACGCTGTTTTCGAGGGGATTCGAAATTCGCCGTACAGATTTTCAATGCAACATATCTATTGGAAACTTCTTCGCGGGCCAGCCATATGGTCGAGTATGTACCGTGGCCAAGTTTATGAACTACCCGATAGCGATGGTAGAAATAGTCACCGATTTTAACTGGATGATAGCCTCCAGCTTCATACTATTCCATTCTTTCCACATCTTCGATGGGTTCGTAAAGGGCACGAGTGGTTTTCTTGGCAGTTACTGTTTCTTTGTGGCTAGTTAAAGATGATGCACGATAAATTGGACGGGGAAGAAATGGCTGGCTGGCTATGAGAGGGAGTCTATGGGGAAAGGGGACGGTCAAGTGTAGGGGCTGCGTGAGCAAGAGGCATGGCTTTCTCATGTTGCTATTGAAGTATTGGCTCCTCGGAACTGAGTTCACGCGTAGAACATGAAGCAAAAATTGTCGTCAATAGAGATTTACATGGTTATGCATCAGTCAGATGCGAGTAAGAAGATGGATTGTGGAGAAATAGCGACAGTAAACGTGCAGCCAGACACACAGCGGTAGGAGAAGAGACGGTGGAGCAGCAGCAGCAACACAGCATAGATCGATAAGGCACCCAAGCATTTCCGATCTGCGCCTTGATCCACCGTCACATTCCAACGTTCAATGACGATAGAGCGGACAATAACTCAACGTATCAATCAATCAAACCAAGAAAATACTCAAATCATTGTTCAGGTACAAAGTCAGTACCCAGTGTCTTACATCCTCCACGCTGATTCGCGAATCCCAGCATCGAGCCTTGCTGTCGATCGCATCCCATCCCATCATCCCAGCCACCGATTAATCCTCAAAACCCACTGTCAATGCGCTCCGCCCCATCACTTCGTCTTTTCCATCTTCTTCCTCTTTTCATCTACATTCCCTGCCTCTTAGCATTTTCCTTCTGATCGTGAGGTCATTATCCCACCACATCCATGTCTACACCACCACCACCACCTTCCCCTCGATGAACCATATCCATCTACAACTACTACTACAACTGGATCTACCCGCCTGTTGATCCCCGCCTCCACAATAATCTCCATCTCCACCTCCACCATCAACAAACCACAATGACTCCAATCCCGATCCCACGAATACCACTACCACCACCAAACCTCAACCTCCACATCTCGATCCCCTTCACACAATCATCCCAACCATCCTCTCTATCTCTCCGAAGCCTCATCCCCTCCGCCCTCCTCAAACGCTCCTCCGCCGCCTTCATCCCCGGAACCTACAACAGCAACGGCCTCTCCCCGGGCGCCGTCGCCGGCGTCATCATCGGCAGCGTCCTAGGCTTCATCTTCCTCCTATACTTAATATTCCTCGCCTTGGGTGCCGGGCGGCGCTTCTCCAGCGAACCCAGTACCGCGACGTCGGCAACAATGTCGGAGGTGGTGGTGGAGGAAGAGGGAAGCTCGATTTCGCGACGACCACCGCGACGTCGGCGGCGCGAGGTCGTCGAGGAGGTCATTGAGAGCCGGGGCAGTCGGCGGAGTCGCAGGTCAAGAGCCAGTCGGGGGAGGGACTCGCGTATTGTTGTGGAGGAGTCGGTTACGTCGTCTGGTCCGTCGAATGTGGTTGAGGTCGAGGAGGAACATTCCAGTGTGGAGGGTTCCGGGGGCCATGGGCGGAGGAGACGCAGTCGGCCGGGGCATTATCGGGCTGTGGATCCGTTGGCGTATGGAGGGTTGACGGAGGATGAGAGTTTGAGGTCGTAGTTGCGGACCCCGTGTAGGGGGTGTGTTGAGGGATTCTTTATTGTGTTTTGTTATATAACGCTGTCGACGTGATTTGATACCCTGCCCTGTGATGTTTTATGATTAGGTTAGAATTGCGAGTCAGTTTTGCACGCAAGAATGTCCATGCACACGGAACTAGAAATGAATAATGTTAATTACTACCGATATAAAAATGATTGGATTTCAACGAAAGTAAACCGACTCGAGTAGTCATCCATAGACCATGCGCCGTTAAGCGCCGACGCCAGTCAAACCTAACCTGACCTGACTGACCCGACATATAGAAACACAGACAAAACCCCGCGCGCGAACCGTGCTCCGTGAATCCTTGCGCCCAACCAAATAATGGCAATACAGTATCAGTAGTAGGCAATCGCATCCAATCTAGACGAGAAGAAAACGCAGATACCAAATCCAAACAGAAGTTCAAAATCATTGAAGACAGCACTCCGCTCATCTTAGAACAGGATATCCAGGCAGCAGCAGCAAGCCAATGCGGCCATTATACCCGCGCAGATACCACCTCCTGAGGATCCGCCCCGGTCTTGTCCGGCATAGTAACCTTGTTGTTGCTGCTGCGGCGGAGGATAGTACATCGGCTGGCCTTGAGGCGGAGGAGAACCGTAGTATCCCTGCTGCGGCGGGGGACCATAGCCCTGAGGCGGATATCCCTGGTTGTAGCCTTGTTGAGGGTAGCCGCCCTGCTGGTAGTAGTCTTGCGATGCGCCTTGGTGATAGGGACCGGCGTCGTGGGTCGGAGGAGGGTAAGACGGGGGAGGCTGGTCCTGTTGTTCAATATCAGTCAGCGGTGTAGTGAGACGTGGCGAGAAGGTTGACTCAACATACAGGTTTGTTGTAGGACATTTTTGATAAGGAGACAGTCGCAAGTCTTTCAGACGCGATGATCAGGGATTATGCGGTCTTTTGTTGCGGTAAGGAATGCCTGACGGCGCAGTTGAGGCTTCTGATAGGAATGAGAGTCTTTTCTATAGTGCGGAATGTGCGGAGAGGTAAAAGAGGGGAGGGTGATGGATGTGAGGAGAAAAAGTCGGGAAAAGAGACGAGAAGAAGCGCCGAGCGAAACCAACGATTGATGGCAGCTTGGCGAATGGTCCGGATTAGGCAACCGGCTATGTCGGTCTACGCGGGCGGAATTGGGGGGATGTTGGGGAGGACAAAGATGTCGTGCAGATGCCAACTACTTGGCTTATATGTCTACTACAGTCTCGTGGTGCCAGACGAAACACACAATCATTGCAGTGTCTCTGTCACACAGCGTCTTGTTTCATCCGATGCCCTGAACGTGACTTCGCTACCAAATCGGTGGTTGGGGAAAGAGGGGAAAACATGACGAATATCTTATCTTGGCGTGGTGGCTGACAATGGTTGCCATTTTTAGTATTTACTTGTGACCAATTGCTCGATATAATAACAAGACAAGTTGCAGAGTACAACAAGAACCCCCGATGGTCTAGTTGGTTATGGCGTTCGGCTGTAATGGTAATTATTGTAACCGAAAAATCACCAGTTCGATTCTGGTTCGGGGGATCATCTTTTTGGTTTTCATTTTTCCTCATTCTTGGAGACACCAACGACTCAAGTAATATTGCACCAACTCTCAATTTTTGTTTCCTGATATACATAGACACTAAAGTAGTACCTGATACGATTTAATCTTACAGTTAGGTGGACTTAGAACGATAGTAGTAAGTGTACGCTAGTACTATTAGTAGTGATGTTCAAAAGAGCCATACCTTAACCACGGCACTAGTATATATATTGAACGGTCAGTAGAAATCCCAAACAATGAAACAGTTTTTATAGTAATTTGATACTTGCGAGATAGAATAATTGGGACTAAGATTCAAGTACATTGACCGATGTATCTGTTCTATAAGCTCATCAATTCGGCAGATAATAATCATATCCATTCTTTCCAGCGTGGACCAGCCGGTAAGGTGCCCATGTACCTCCTGCATGTTTAGCGCCAATGATCCCACATTGAGAGCCACTCAGCAGTCACCACACTAACCCGAGGCTGAGCAGCATGTTTGGTTCCTATCGCATTTGAATTAGGCAACGAGCGCCTGACGACCTTCCTCTTTTCAGCCTCGCGAGCCGAACACATTCAGTCCAGGACTCTATCACTGATCGGTTTCTATTGCGATTGCACTACAAGAATTTTTCAAGACCTCACAGCGTCCCAGAATGCCATCGTGCAAGTCTGGGTGTCTTTCGACATTGCTTGGGGGTTTTAGGAAAGACAGACATGCAGAGGAGGGAAGGCACGAGGCAGACGACCAAAAAGTCGAAGAGTATGGCGAGAAAAGCCCTGCAAAAGGCTCTCCCAGCAATGGCGCTACTGGCAACGATAGTCAAACTACAGAATTGCGACAAGATGATGGATTACTTGCTACTGATGACAAGACTACCAGTGACGCTGGTGGACGCCGTGGACAACAGGCCATTAACCAGGCGGGTTTTTATTCACAAAGCTCTCTGGGACAAGGCCTATAAAAACCTCAAAAATGACCCGGCAAAGGCAGAATACGTTTCAAGGTATGAGGAACTGCTTCAAAGGGTGTTTTTGAGCCAATACACGGCCGCAAAAGTAGTCGAAACGAATGAGTCTTCCCAGCACCTTGGAGAAGAGCAAATGAAAAAGGTGGTCGAAGAAGGCCTTGCGAGAATTGAGAAATACAAGAAAGCTATCGAGGATTCGGAGAGCACTGTCAATGTAATCAAGCAGCTCAAGGCCATTCTTGACATTCCTCTGAAGAATGTCTCTCAGACTGCGCTGCCGTGGGCCGTCATCTCATCAAGCGTTGATGTAAGTGTTCTAACCCTGATATTCCAATACAGACACTGAGAAACTACCACTATGACTAGATATTGCTCAAGCCAGTCAGCGTGGGAGCGGCTCTCTACAACGGCGTAGCTTATGCGGTTTCTAGAATCGAGTGGTACTCGAAATTGACCAACAAACTTGTATGTGAGGACAGCATAAAAGATGATCAGTCGCTACACAGAATACGAGAGGACATAGCTGGGCGAATCACGTCGTTGTATGAGTCACTGCTGTTCTATCAAATCAAGAGCGTCTGTTTCTATTACAAAAGGTATCAGCTCCTAGTGTGGGCTCGCGGATTGCTGGACCTGGACGATTGGAGTGGCGATCTCAAACACATTCAAGAGGCAGAAGATGCTCTTGCCAGGGATTGCGCGCTTTTTGACATGGAATACATGAAGGGTCAAATGAGAGCGATGATCATGGACACCGAGACAGCGGAAGACTCCCAGGAGTTTCAGAAGCGTCTGCAGGCTATACGCCGCGTGGATCCGCAGGCTACCGTAAAAACCATCGAAAGCTTAAAAGAGAGTGTCATGGATGACCTATATACTTGGATTTTTGATACTGAGCAATTCAAGGGCTTTATGTGTTGGGAAGAGAACGGGCCTAGACGACTCTGGATCAGTGGGCAGGCTGGAACTGGAAAGACAATGCTTTCAATAGGCACTATAAAAGAACTGCAAACACGGGGTCTCAGGGAGCCAGAGCCCCCAACGATCCTATACTTCTTCTGCCAACACACCGATGCAGACTTGAACAACGGGGTTGCAGTACTCCAAAGCCTGGTGTGGATGCTTCTCCGACAACAGCCCCACCTAAGCTCACACCTTGATGAGCAATTCTCTCATTCAGGACAGAAATTCATCAGTGATTGCAATTCATTCGCTACGTGGTGTGATCTGTTGACAGGTATGCTGATAGATTCAGCTCGTGTCATAATTGCCGTCGACGCTCTTGATGAATGTGAGGAAGGTTCGCGCAGGCAACTATTGCAATTCATGAACGGTATCATTACCAAGGAAAGAATGTCCCATGTCAAATGGTTCATTACCAGTCGGTTACTATTGGAGATTCCAGACAGCCGACCTGAGACAACACTACAATACCATAGGCTTCTGCTGCTGGATGATCAGAACCTCATTCCCTGGATAAACGCTTATATTGATCGAAAGGTCCAGGTGCTTCGTGACAAAGCTCAGAACCAAGAGCGTGTTGACAGGCTGAAAGATCAGTTACATGACCGAGCCAGCAACACGTATATTTGGTTCTCTTTAATGTTTGGGGAGATAGAAAATGCACCCGAGGCCCGGTGGCAGAAAATCATCGAAAATACCCCACGTCAGCTGAATGAGTTATACGAGTCTCTGCTCAGACAACTGCCCTGGCCAGAATGCAAAACCGTTCTAACTGTTGCAATGGTGGCACGCCGACCCTTGTCCTTGTGGGAGATGGAGCAACTTACAGGAATGGAGACAGGTGTCAATGCAGGAAGGGACTACGTCACGGGGTGTAGGTCGTTTCTGAGTATCCGTGGCGAGATGGTGTATTTCATCCACCAATCTGCTCAAGACTGGCTACTGTTGAACAAGCACCAGCTTCGTGATGGGCCTCCGCAAGACCCTAGTGTGTTTGAGAAGTGCATCCACCGTGATATCTTTGAGAGGTCTTTCGAAGGAATGTCAGAGACCCTGAAAGAAAACATATATCAGCTTCCTCACTGTGGCGTCTTATCTACCGAGGTGGAGACACCCTCACAAGATCCACTCGCCGCTATCCGCTACTCTTGTCAATATTGGGCTTACCACCTCAACGAAGCCGAAGTTATGCAAGACGTCGGCATGCTTGGTTTTCTCCGACGGCATTTTCTTCATTGGCTGGAGGCCTTAGCCTTGATGAGAATTGTACCAGAAGCAGTAGGAATCATTGATATGTTACGATCAATCCCGGCAGTATGTAAAAACTGATGGAAGCTGAATTTAGTCAATACTATGTCACTGACCCACCGAGCTTAGTTGAAATCTGATCTTGAAATACGCGAATTTTTGCTGGATGCAAAGCGGTTTGTCTGGAGGCACCAACAAACACTTATGATTGCACCACTTCAAGTCTACGTTGCGCTTATGTTTACTCCAAAGACTAGCCTAGTGCGGAACTCAGGAGCACTCCCAGAATGGATCCTCCAGGGACCAGATATAGAAGAGAACTGGGGGTCTCTACTACAGACCTTCGAGCATTCATCAAGTGCGCTGTCTGTGACCTTGTCTCCCAGTGACCGAATCATTGCAGGCACAGATGGAAATATGGTAAGAATATGGGATGCAAGAACAGGCATTTTGATCAGATGCCTCCTTGTTGAGGAGTATGATTTCATTGAACCATGGGACGCTGTTCATTGGGTCCATTTCACCTCAAACAGTCAACTGTTGCTCGCTTCTACAACGCAGAAAGTATTTGTTTGGGATACAGTTACGTGGGAAATGTCACATACAGTGGGGTGCACTGATGACATTGACTACATTACAGTGTCTCCTAACAGCCTGTTACTTGCATGCTTACACGGAGACGGAAGAATAACTCTGTGGCAAAGGAACGGCACCTCATGGAGACTCAGATGGACTCACCACAGCTCAGGTGCAAATTGGCAACGTATCGAACCGGCTTGTCTATCATTCTCATTTAATAACCGCCTACTCGCTTATACTATGTATCCGAGCAGCTTCGGAGTTTTGGACACAGAACGCGGCAATATACAGCAAGCAGCTGTGCCTCGGGGGGTTCGGGGTCGTTTGAACGCAGTCAAGTTTTGTCGAGACGGCAGAATTCTGCTACAAGCAGATGATACTATCGAGATATGGCGGCATGGAGACAAGTGGGAACTGGACTGCACATTTGAATTACCGATGATTCCCACAAATATTGCAGTCTCTCCCAATGATAGGCTTATTGCATTATCAGGAGACGGTTCAGCAATACACGTGGTGGATAGACAGGAAGGGATGATCATGCAAACTTTAAGGGGCCACACATCCGAGGCTTGTGATTTAGCCTTCTCTTCGGACGGTCAATTCCTTGTGTCGAGTGGATCTGATATTACAATCAGACTATGGCTAATTGCACCTGAGGAGTACGACAAAGTCCCAGTTGAGCGATGTAAAGCAATCGGAGGTGTGGCACTCTCCGCGGATGGCTCCTTATTCGTCACAGTAAGACCCCTGAGAACAATTAAAACATGGAATGGATATACGGAAGAGCATCAAAAAACATTCAAAGCACCTAGAATTAGTATCCTTGAATTCACCGTGACTATTTCTCCAGACAACAAGCTGGTGGCATGGGTATCTCACGACGGGTGCGTCGCGGTATGGGATGCAGAGACGGGTCAGGTTATTGCGACCCAAGGCAGAAGACTACGGTCTCGGAGACTTTGCACATGCTGTTATTTGCAATTCTCTTCCACCAGCAAGCTACTGGGCTGGATAGAAGACGTTGGTACTATCCGTGTGTGGAGCATACAGCCATGCCGTCTTTTGAAAGAGTATCAGGGGGGAGATGGTACCAAGTATACGGTTTCCACTATTCGTCGAAAGAGACGAGAAAAATTGTCACTTGTTCTCCAAGCCCTAGAGAATGAGCTCAACATGAGTAAGGAAGTAGGGTACAGTCCAGAGAATTGCCTCTCCCAAGATGATGCCGCACATACTCCAAGAATTACCGTTGAAGATGATTGGGTGGTCTTGGGGGAGCAGAAAAGCATCTGGTTGCCCCCGGAATATCGGCCTTGGAGGTTGAATGGCGGCTGGGATGCTCAGAGCAATGTAGTTGTCATTGGACTTGAATCTGGCAGATTTTACTCCATTCGGTTCAACCCCCACGAGATGTCAGCAGGGCAATTGCAACGGGACGATGCTGAGGAAGATTATGATGCCGACAGTTCAAGTGGCTCATTGTTTTGAGTATTTTTATCTTGATGACGATTTAGCCAGCGACAGTCTTTCTCCTGACTCGGGATACTTGGCTGATGGGGAATGACGAAGCTCAACTTGTTCTTCGCATATCCTGCTCCACTCCAGTCAGAATGATTGCTATTGAGTTGACTTCTAATTTCGGTGTGCTTGTACAACAATTATTCTTCAATGAACAGAAATATATATAAATAGAGAATAGGATTGTTTGGCCACGCTTGTATTCCTTGAAACCAGTGATTTATGTCTAGCCTAGGTGTGTTACGCTTCCATTACAGTTAATTCACACTTCTCTGTACTCGCCTGCTGTTATATAAAGCCAGATCGACCATAAGTAAATATGCGCTTTCAGTAAGCTTCTTGGTACTGTCTCTTGATTGTATGGCTAATAACTCATTCCTGGTCCGTGAATTGTCACATGAACTTGCAAAGAATGTATGGTTAGTAGCCTATTCTATGACATGTTCCGAATTGAATTTGTATTTATCTTCAAGTATTGATGCTCTGCTCTGGCGCACTTTTAGATGCGCTTGCATTTCTGCTTCACCTTGTACCGCTGCCTGGAAGCTAGCCAATAAGAAGAAACCCGCAGAAATAATTACAGCGAGACCCCAGTGATCTTGATCAAATCACAGAGCCTTAAGAAAAAATGACAGAACTCTACTATTACTGGCCACAGGACCATCAGTAATACTGATATATTCCACAGACAATGGACCAACAATCAGGCAGCTTCCATCAACGAAATTACTGGTGTAAGACCTCAAATAGTTTCAAGACCGACCCAGAAAAGGCATAGGTATTGCATGTTAAGGTATGGAAAGCTGCTGGGAAGATATTCTATTTGCCTTTATCTATTTTCTCTTCTTACATTCAACCACACTTTCATCTATCTTTGCTTCTACTGCACCTTCCGAAACTAGCGCAATTGTCGCTTCTAAGTGCCTTCCACCACATAATTCTTCCTTGTCCTTCTTTCTTCGGTCGACAAATCTCACCTTCCGAATGGTGCTAAGACTAATTCACGGACAGTGGGTCACTCATCGCTCAGCCCAATCTGAAACTGCGCCGAAGCTAATATGGATCAAGCATGGAGGAGCTAGGCTAATCGCGAGCCGACGAGGGTCTGGAGTTTACTTTGCACGCTAAAACAGCACCGCCACAGCAGCCTAATTGAAGGCATTCGTCATCTACAACGACACGTAAGTACGCCATTTTCTCCAATCGTGAGCTCAACTGAGGGAATGACTTTGCGAATAGGGGTTCGCGATGCTGGACAGCCTACATTCGCTGGGAAAAGCAGTCTATCTCAAATAGATAGTCGCCTTTTTCCCACGTCGAAGCTCGGGAAATTGGTATACTATGAAGATTTAGACGTGATCTGGCAGCCAGGACAAGAATCCTGTTCAGTGTGATGCCTTTCTTCGTGCTGCAAACAAACAGTAATTACTCGAGACGAGCCATGGACATGTTCTGGCAACGGGTCTTGCCCGGGTCTGTCGGCTACGGAGCATACGTATGCCCCGGACAACCCTGATTCCAGAGGTCAATCAGACCCTTGGAATTTCCACCAGGTTGGGCAAGGGTCTGTATCAATGCATAATGGGACTCGACACAATTTTTCGGGCTCAGCACAAGTCCAGTTCCGGCACCTCTAGCCCGCCGAGCAACAGGAACATAAAGGCAAGTCATCCGATTCCGAACAAAGTATACACACTCGAAACCAATACAGATTCAATCAATTCATTCTCACTAAAACCATATCGTCGTCCCGCTTCAAATATTTTTGCTATGGCACAAACCCCGCGCAGCCTTGCCGGCCAGCCGCTCATTCATGGCTTACGCGCTAACTCATGGCCGCATTGCGTAAGCGCGCTCCACCGAGTATGTGTGGCATCGATATCAACATCTTTTGTACCGTATGAACATGCATGAGCTGTTATGCTTAATAGCCATGTTATTTGACGGGGCCATTCATGCACGAGTCAGAATTCGAAACCTGGCAGACAGACGCAACCCACCCATCTTGGCCTGTAGATCCCATGCAGCTACAGCGCATTCCCTCACCATATCAATTTCCCTTGCTATTCTCGGCGAGCCCTACGCCTACCGGCCATAACGGTTGGTTTATCTATGCTAAGCCGAATAAGCGCTTACGTATGTCTTCATTTTTTCGGCATGACCCCTTCGGGTCGATCAAGTCATTGCAAGAGCCGGGCTCCGCGGGGGACCGGTCAACAAACTAATGGAAAAGCTCTGGTATGAATCCTGATGCTTTTACTTATGCACTAGCTGACTTTTTCTGTCTTAAGGGGCTCCATGATACCCTGACGATCTAAGCCTATTGTATAGCTTGCCAGGTCATTGCTTGAATAAGATGGAGTGCGGACCCAGAGGGTCTTTCATCCTCCAGGGCAATTTTTCACGCGATGACTGAATCCCAAAATATGTCCTACAGAAACTTATCCAGTTTAGACGTCTCGGATAGGACAGGTCTCCCCGACTTCGAGTTACACAATGTGCCTGTGGCACCGCCATATACAGCCACTGCATCGGCCCCTGCAGCTGCAGGAGCAGCAGAAACAGCACAGAAAGCAACTGTTGCAAAAGGCGCCGGAGGACCGTGGTATGACCCGCGCTCATGGTCAGTGTTAACGAAATCCCTCGTCGCCGGGGGTCTGGTGGTTATCATTGTTGCGCTCGTCGTGGGCATCTATGAGGGCACGAAACCATCCTCATACCCCGACTACTCTGCCCTGAGCTATAAGCTCGCAGACACATACTCGGGCTCTTCATTCTTTGATGAGTTCGAATACTACACAGCCACCGACACAACAGACGGATTCGTAGAGTAAGCCTTTTACCTCCCCCCCTCCCTCAGATAATACAATCCCATCAAAGACCCTAACTAACCCTACACCAGCTACGTCGACAGCACCACCGCCTCATCAATGAACCTAACCTACGCCTCCAGCTCCCGCGCCGTCCTGCGCGTCGACACCAGCACCTCCAACCAAACCAGCGGCCGGAAATCCGTGCGCATCACCTCCAAGAAAACCTACAACGACGGGCTCTTCATCTTCGACATCACCCACACGCCCTACGGATGCGCTACCTGGCCCGCCCTCTGGCTCACCGACCCATCCAACTGGCCCGAACACGGCGAAATCGACGTGCTAGAATCCAACAACAAAGCCACCCACGGCAACGCCATGACCCTCCACACCTCAAGCGGATGCAAAATGAACGTGAAACGGAAAGAGACCGGCACAGCCAAATACACCAACTGCCTTAACACCGCCAACGACAACGCCGGTTGCAGCGTAACAGGCGCAAAAGCAACCTACGGCGAGAAATTCAATACTAACGGTGGCGGCGTGCGTTTTTTCCCTTCCCTCCCCTAATCCTCAAAATCATCCGCAAACCACATATCTGATACTGATAGAAAACTGCCAGATATACGCCATGGAACTCCGCCCCGCCGGCATCCGCGTGTGGATGTTCTCCCGCGACTCCATCCCCAACGACATCTCAAACAGCAGCAACACTCCCGACCCATCGAGCTGGGGCGAAGCACTCGCCGACTTCCCCAACACGAACTGCGACATCAGCTCGCATTTCAAGAACCAGAGTATTATCGTCAATATTGATATCTGTGGTGATTTGGCGGGTGCGAGCACTTACTACACGGATCTGTATGATTGTCCGTCGACATGCACGAAGTGGGCGGCGGAGAACGGGGCCAACTTTACCAATGCGTATTGGGAGTTTAAGAGCTTTAAGGTTTATCAGACGAGTAGTAGTGGGAATAGTTCGAGTGCTAGTACTAGTACGGTGGCCGGGGCGTCGTCGACGGCGGGGTGGTATGGGAGTGCGACGAGTTCTGCTACGACGACGGCGGATGGGGCGGGGAGTACGACGGGTCAGGACGGAGGGGAGGGAAGTCAGAGTGGTGGGCAGGATGGGCAGACGGGGAGTCAGGGGGGTGGAGGGCAGGAGGGAGGGAGTAGTAGTAGTGGAAGTCAGAAGGAGCAGGGGGGTCAGGGAGGGTATTAATGATGATGATAGTATTAATAGTAATATCAATTGTGGCACTTGGTCACTCTTTTCGTTTCTTGGCTGAATTTCACTGTCTATGGATAGTGTATGATCGGTGAGATGGTATCTGGCTAATGATCAGTGTCAATAGCATAAAGCATCATAGAGATGATGGCATGTACAAGACTAAGGACAAAGATAATGTACAAGTCTACACTCAATTCTGGTATGTCATCATAATGAAAATCGCTCAACGTCCTACATTCGATCCGTACAACTTGCTTTTCCACTCGCTCATTCGTTACTTACACGACACGCTGCTAAACAAATCGCTGACTGAATGCTCCTGGCTGTCGCCAGTCTCGGGACTGGGAAAGATAAGAGAGGAGAATATGGTAAGACATAAAATAAGAAAGCATAGGTAGTAAGGTAAAGGTAAGAGGAAAAAGTCAATTACACAGAAGGAAAAAAGAGGAACTCAGCCCGGGCTTGGTCCGTAGACCAAACAACCGACGCTGGTAGCACGGTGATCACGCAAGAAAACCAATACCCGTGCATATTGATTTCTGTTTTCGTAAGACAAAATGGGCATATCTCGGTAGAGGAAAAAGGAGTTAGTAGGGATAGATGGGTAGGGGTCGGGGTACACGACTCCTGGATGCAAAGAGAGAACCAAAGGATCACGCAGAGTGTAAATGTGTCAAATGCGAGTCTCGAGATTTTGCAGATCTAACAATGAGCATGGCTGATGCAAGATGCAGATGCAATGCGATGCAACACTCTATGCTTGGCGGTTGATTTAGGCCTTCTCCTCGAGGCTGGCCTTCTGGAGCTCTTCCGACACGTCGGCAGCAGCGTCCTTCTCCTGCTTCAGCTCGGCGTCAGCGGAAACCTCGCCGTTCACACCGCTGTTCTTGAGAGCGGGCTTCTTGGCAGAGTCGGTGGCACCGTTGACGGCGGTCTCTTCCGCCTCGAGGCGGTCAATCTCCTCCTGGGCCTTCTTGATGTTCTGGACAGGTATTAGCATTGATAATCGAGTAAAGAAAAGGCGTTTAACTCACCTCCTCGGTCTTCGAGGCCTGGTTCTTCTTCCACTCGGTGATCTTGGCAGCAAGCTTCTCGATCACAGCAGGAACATCCGACTGGTTCATGGGAGGGTCAATCTTGACCTTGGCGAAGTCCTCAATCACACCAACGTTGAGGTTGAACTTGGCCTCAGTCGGGGTACCGGGGGCGGGGCTGCCGTTGGCGCCCTTCTTGCCCTTCTTACCCTTCTTGCCGCCAGTACCAACAAAGTAGTCCTCCTCGCGGTCCTCCTTCTTGAGAACCTTCATACCCTTGAGGTTGGAGTCATCCACGGTACGACCGACATCAGCACGGAAGCTGGAGCTCTCGTCCTTCTTCTCGTCCAGACCCAAAGAAACGAAGTCGTAGGAGGGGTTGAAGTGGCGGATTAGACCCTGAGCGGTGAGAATCTCGTCGGTGTAAGCAAGACGAGAGGCCTCCTCCAGCTTCTTGTCAGCGATCTTCTTGCGCTTCTCGCGCTCGAAGGCATCGCGCTGGGCCTTCTGCTTCTCACGGCGGACTCTCCAGGCCTCATCCTCGTACTCCTTGTAGGCCTTGCGGGCCTTGTAGTAGTTGTCCTTGATTTCGCGGATGGCGGTCCACTTCTTCTGCTGCTCGCCGTGGAGCTTGGTGCGCTCGTCCCTCAGGGCGTTGAGGTTCTTGAAGGCACTGTCCTGCTCGGCCTTGATGGCATCGAGCTCCTTCTGGATCTCGGAGTACTTGTCGCTAAGAGCCTTGGCCTCGGGGTTGTCGAGGGTCTTCTTGAGGGAAGCGATCTGGGTCTTGAGGTCGTTGATGACCTTCTGGGCCTCCTCCAGACCGGCGAAGTTCTTGCGCTGCTTGCGCAAGTTGGAGACGTCGGACAGAATCTTGCGCTCATCGACCAGGCGGAGGGTGCCGGAGTCGACCTGCTTCTCGAGGCGGGCGATTTCGCGGTCGAGTTCCTCGACATTCTTGAAGGACATGCGCGTACGAGAGTTGTTCTGTTCGGAAATGCGAGCCTTGAGGGTAGCATCAAGGGCATTGATCTTCTCCTGGGTGCTGGAGCGAGAAGCCTTGAATCCCTGCTGCTTCTGACGGATCGAAGACAGCTCAGCGCGGAGTTCCTGCTGCTTCTTCGCGGCGGGCGAGTCCTGGTTGTTGGGCTTGGCGGTCTCGATCTTGGCCTTGATTTCGGTCTTTGATATGTAGTTAGTTTCTGAGATCACGGATAGATGATATGTTGCATTGGTCTTGCGATTGGATGAAAGGCGGAACAGCAAAAGATACAGTGTAGCGCAAAACATTCCGAATGGATAATTAAGCAGAGAAAAGGCCACGGAGCGGTAATGAATCACCGCATCCAAGGTGAGAAATGCGATTGCACGATGCCAATTAGAGCAGAAAGAGATCCTCACATACCAATTTGGCCTGAACAGCGGCATGCTCCTTCTCAGCCTGAGCGAGATCGGCCTTGAAGGCCTCCTCGTTGGGCTTAGTAGGCTTCACCTTGTGCTCCGTGGCAGGAGCGGATTTGGCGTCAGCGGCCATGGTAAGAGGTGGAGAAAAGCAATAATAAGACAACACTCGACAAAAAGAGCGCGATTGACCGAAATCAACCGGGAAAAAGAAAGCTCCAACGAGCGGGAAGAAGGGAAAGGGGGAGAAGGAGGAGGGGGGGGGGTTGAGGGGGGAAGGAATGGAAAGAGAACGCTGGAGAAGAAGAAAGTCGGTACTCTTTTCTTGGTCTGGCCTTTGCTGGTCCAAAAGGCGGCGCTTACCGTTTGGCGCTTTTAGCGCTGGCCCGCCGATTTTTCGAGAACCGCATTTTGCTTCCATCATCGCCTCTCTCCCCTCCAGCCTAGACAGCTTCCTGCTCCGCATTCTCCGGGCTTGATCGGTTTATCTGCCCGATTATTGCTCTTCTTCTACCTTTCCACCTAATCTCTTCCATTTTCAAGTTTCGCGCCGCGGTGTGCCATCCACCTTCAACCATGGACGAGGACTACTCTGCAAGCTCCGTGGATGCCGACCGCGAGATGACCAGACTCTGGCGCACATGGAGGACAGTCTTTGAGATGCTTCTGGATCGTGTAAGGATTTTCTCCAGCTTCAAGCGAAGCGATGCTTCCCATAATCACCCCGCGATCATCCCACTGACCAAGTTCAACAAATCCGCAGGGCTACGAGGTCACGGAAGATGAAGTGCAGATGCCTCTCCACGAATTCAAGCAAAAATATTCCGACCCTCTAGGATACCCCGAGTATGCGCGCCTTTCATCCCATCCAATAATTTCCAGTCAACCCCCAACTAACCTAAAATCCCCTCAAACAGCCGCAACAAGATGAAAATCAGCGCCCGGCCCACGGAAGCCATGCAAGCGAAATACACGCCCCTGCCTAGCAAATCGAACCCGAACCCCCAGCCGGACTGCGGCACCATCTACGTCGAATTCTGCCCGGACTCGACCGGCGTCGGTACCAAGCAAGTGCGTACCTTCAACCACTTTGTCGACGAGAACAACTTCCACACGGGCGTGTTCATCACCCAGACTCCCATCTCGCCATCCGCTGTGCGCCTGCTGAGCAGCATGCCCGGCCGCATCTGCGAGCATTTCCAGGAGCAGGATCTGCTGGTCAACATCACCCGCCACGAACTGGTCCCGAAACACGTTTTGCTTAGCCCCGATGAGAAGGCCCGTCTGTTGGAACGTTACCGTCTGAAGGAGTCGCAGTTGCCTCGTATACAGGTGTCTGATCCTGTTGCTAGATACCTGGGTCTGCGCAGAGGTCAGGTCGTCAAGATTATTCGCAGAAGTGAGACGGCTGGTCGGTATGCTAGTTATCGCTGGGTTATATAATCGGTGGGTTTTTTTCGAGGGTCTTGAGGGTCCTGCGATGAAAAGAATGAGTTGTCTCCGGTTATGGTGATATGCTTATTGCTGAGCCGGAGGTTACGCGCTTCAATTCTCTACCCGATGCAGGTCCAGCCAAACGGCCCAATCTGCCCTCCGAAAGGAGTCTATTACAGACGCAGAAAATAAAGAAAAGACACAAGGAACAAGACGAAAAGAGAGGCTGGGTTGAGAGGAAAATACGGCGAGGGGAGGAAAAAGAAAGGAAAAGAAAAAGAAAAATTTACCGAATACAGGCATCGGGCAGCATGGCGTAAAGGCGAAAAATTCTCTCGAAAGTGTGTTTCTTAACGGGTGGTGTATGTGTGTATGTATGTCTATGCTACGTCTTATTTTTATTTTAGGTGTGCTTCGGTTTCACCTCTATTAGGTTTTAAACTACAAATCTATCTATCTACACAAATCATACAATGGTTGAATAAATTGAATGGTATCAGGTTATAACTAAAACTTACATTGCCACAATATATTAGTACTTGTTTTTCTAGAACAGTCAATGACCTTCCCTTTCTGATTTAGTGCTCCCTCTTTACTGCTTTTTACTTAACTGAATAGGTCTCAGCACACCCCGAGCACATCCTAAGCAGCCTGAGGTAATTACTGAGCATGGTGCACACATATCGCTGCTCGGCATTTTCGAACGAGCAAGACACGTATCAATCTTAAGCTTGTCTCAAGAATCAATACATTCATTCCTCTTGTCTTTGGTATTCAGCATCCTCACCACCACCGTATATGACAGCCACCCTCATCTTCGCAAGCTGGTTGTGAGCTGACTTTGAATGCATATAGACACCTCCCTTGAACATGGATGTGGCATCCTTTCCGATACCGCTTTGGATCATAATTCGGCCACCAGGATGTGTATCCATAAAGCGAGACACGTCATGCACAATACCCGAAATGACAATGAGAGGACGCTTCGAGACCTCTGTCTGGTAAATATAGTCCCTCCATTGAATCACCGGTAAGCTCTCAATAGGAATTCCCCAATCAAGCTGCAGCTTCTCATGATCAAGAAGCTTTTGCCGTTTTTGCAGGCGACATTTGAGAATCTCGTTGGCGGCGAATGTCTTCAGGTCATAAGCAAGCCCAAGCTGACCCCATATCCAGATGATCCATTTAGTCGCATCATATTGCCACCATTTCTCTGCATTGCGATAGCCCGAGGGAAAGGAATGGTGGAAATTATGATACCCCTCTCCCAATGCAAGAAGGGCAGTGATCAAATGATCCCGTGATGATCTCCGGTCATCGAATGGTTGCTCTCCTAACCAGTGAGCGAGGGAGTTGACGCAAAACGTCGCCTGGTGAACAAAGAACATTCGGAGGATCCCTGCATAAATGAAGCCACCTTTCCAATCTCCCCATCCGAGACCACTGACGAGCGTTGGAAGCAGGAATGCCGTTGCGAGTATAATGACTAGATAATTGCGGTGTTGCCATACAACGACTGCGTCCACGTTCAAATCCGCAGTGTCTACCCGACCGAGTCGCTTGGGATTCTGTTTGAAGATCAACCAGCCCATGTGAGAGTAGAGAAGACCCTTGTTCACCGAGTATGGGTCCTTGCTGGTGTCTGTGTGCCGGTGGTGAGATCGGTGTGCACGAGCCCACCACCTGATGGACCCTTCTCCAGCTCCGGCTCCCATCAATGCTAGGAAGACCTTTAAAGGTAAGAAGGCCCCATACGATGCATGTGCCCAAAGGCGATGATAGCCTTGGTTGCCTTCAGTGGACTGATGGTTGTGTACAACGAAGTCATAAGGTACTTCTTACCTGCAGTGATGCCAAATCCCGTACAAAAGTAATATAAGACTGACCATATTGCTGTTTCTTTCTGAAGAGGTGTTGAGAATGCCTGGAGACAGCCGTAAAGAGGAACTACTATAGTAAGGATAATTCCCCACCAGTTTAGGTGCTTATACCAATTTCGCCACGTCATCGGGAGCTGTGAGATGTGAACTCTTTGTTCACCAAGGGGTGGGAGCTTGTGAGCCTCCATATTGCTTTCCGAGTTTACGGCGTCTGGATAGAAAGGGTGTACCAAGCACTTTCAGCGACTGACAGCGACTGACAATTAAGTTTTGCGCTCCTATATGGGTCATGATCCGATCAGTAAAGAGGGAACGGCAATATTTGTAGTAGATTCATTATACCGTAGTGTGCTCATCGTATGAACGAGTACGCATGTGGTTGTTATTTACCATGTACACACCTTAAAAGAGTAGTAAAATTGGAGAAATCAAGTGCTTTCTTCCCAAAGAGCTGAGAACCATGTGAAGTATCACTCCAGCAAGAGACAGCGGGGTATGCGACAGATGGTTCTCTTCACAGCGGCAAGTTGATGACGCAAGGTGTCGAGTAAGGAGAACGAGAGCATGCATGATATCGTGTTGCATAATATGTGTTACTATATTATTTCTTCCACTAGACCGAGACAGTCAGAATCTTGAATCAACAGCGGTATCTTGGACTGTATCTGCATTGTAGTTCATTTGATGCCACATCGTTACCTAAACAAAGGGGCAGATTGAGAACATAAGAGTGCCATGAGAGTATGAAAGTACCGTAATAATGCTGCCTTGTCTATCCTTGCGTCCTTGTAACACGCAGAAATGATAAAACCTGGTTGTGCAGAACAACTGTGTATAGGGCTGCAAGTGTGAACAAATTGGACGCACTGCAGTGAATATCCTTGATCGCCATAAACCAACGGGCAAATGAGAGGCATGTGAGAGATAGACAGTGGTCTCTAGTGCAGTAATTTCTCAGTGCATGCTGTCCCTAGGGTTCTAGCTACCTTTGCTGAGAATCAGAAAACGCGAGTCTACAAAAAATAACATCACAAGTGTGCACGTGGTTTGCCATAATTGCGATAAAAGGCCCAGACTAGTACCTGAGCAAGCAGGCTCTTATGCGAAAAACGGTCCATGATGAAGCGTATATGCTGTGATTGTGCAAGGATATGATCAGCCATATCGACATCGGTAAACAGGTTCAGATCGGATGTCGCCTTAGAGAGCTCGAGCTCGTTGCTGATTCTGACCGTCTTGTCATCGGAGAAAGCGAATGAGGTTCCAAAAATCGCAAATAGACGACTCATCTTATGCTGATTATGTGATTTCCATCCATCAGCTATCCACACCGGATGCAGGTCCCAGGGTATCTGGCGGCACTTCATGACGGTTTGACGCCATTTCTCGAAGCTAATCTGAAACTTAACTCCACTGACCGCGTGCACACAGCCGTGGGTCCCTATAGCTAGGTGACAGAGTAGACGGTCAACAACCACATCTACAGGAACCACATCCTGATGAGTATTGATTTCCGGGTTAGATGTTTGTGTCGCTATCTGGAATCGCCAGGATGGAATCAACATCAGGCCTGCGGCAACCACAATGCATGGCGATGACATTGGAACACAGTATCCCGGAAAAGGCAGACGTTGTGCAGGCCCAATAATTGAAGGACGCGCAATGAGGAGCTTCTCTTCCCCGCCCATTTCTGCAAATCTAAGGGCCAGTAGCCGCTCAGTCAAATGCTTGGCATAGGCATATGCCCAGGGGAAGTCGTTCGCTTCGTACGTTTCATTCGTTCCATACTTTTGCACTGCACTCCATTCGGCAAGCGGACTGTCTTCTTTGTTTAGTTGATGGAAATCCTCAGTGATCACCGGATCGGAACCAGGACTTTTCTCGTGAATATGAGCATTGGAAAACGCCGTGGAGACGTAGACGAATCGATCAAGGGCTCGGAATGAGCTCGCAAATTCGACAATCATCTCAGTAGCCCCAATGATCCCCTGGGACACATTATGAAGTGGCCTCCCTAGATTGATCGGAGATGCTGCATGAATGATGATATTGATATTTTCACGGAGCATTTCTTGATCGGGTTTAGACAGCCCCATGCTAGGGAAGGTAACATCACCTTCGAGGACCACCAGTTTCTTTGATTCGAATAGCATATCTGCTACCTGGGCCGACAAATTCGCCTCCCATTTTGCACGAAGGTTGCTTTTGTGGCGTTAGGAAGCGATGATATAACGCTGGGGTTGTGTTGAGCGGCTTACTCTATACCTCCTCGGCAGATCAGGTAAATATAAGACAACGATGTCGTTGTTATGAGGCGGTGGATCAGGGCAGTCCCCAAAAACCCAGTTCCCCCTGTCACCAGGACTGACTTCTCGTTGTAGTATTGCCACATTGTTGGTTTGCTACTTTGCAGTGACGGGAGGAACTTTGGGAAACTCCTCTGGCAAAGAGAATTCGGTGATCCCAAATGAGAGAGTAGAGTCCCCTGAGACTAAGGTCATTAACCCTGAAAATCTTTCCCAGAAAACCAGGTTATAACCTAGATTACTTAAATGATTCCTGCAAATTCTCAGGGTAGCTCTGAGAATCACATAGTTAGATGACCATGCGCTGTAACGAGTCAACTGACTCCAATTAGTTACATACCGTCGTACTACCTATCTAGTCCCAAATAGTATCAACCAATCAATCAATAATAATGCTCTTGTGTCACTATTGCAGCTTATCATTGTTATTCCCGATGTCTCCGCCATGCATCTAAAAAAAAAAAAAAAAAAAAAAAAAAAAAAAAAGAAAGAAAGAAAACGCACGGATAAGGTCTTAATCCATGTAGATTGGTCCCGACTCATTTCTTCGAAACTTACAGGTGCCCGCCGTGTAGAGCCTTTTGGCTGACAAACGACAAGGACAGACACTACCTCAAGGTGATCGACGCAGTTCGCAAGATCGGAGGCTCCGCAGCCTCATTCTCATCCTTGATAGATAATGCAGGTTTGGCCTTGCACAATTGAGCCATCAGACCTATCGAAAACAGCCTAACTTCGCGTCAATAGGGCTTACCGGCATCAAGCCCATAGGTCTTATACTGAGTCTATTCAGCATTTATCATACGGGGTGGTAGCCATGAAGGTCGAGAAGACATACCATTCCATGTTAAAAGGGTGAATGATCTGTATTACATGTAACAGTGTATCTCAATGCAAGGGAGGTCTGGCGCTACTTGGGCATATATGGCAGACTCCTGACTTCTACTTTTCAATGATTCTGCTGATCAGCAAGCTGCAGGTCATTGATACTATAACTATTTACAATCAAATCTATGCACATCCAAGCAAGGGCAATCTATATAGGAAATCCCTTCACGGCTTGACAAATACGGGAACTTAGTGAAACGGGACCATGCAATATAACATCGGTATACTATGCAACAAGTATGCTAATCAGCCCTGACATTCATAAACTCGACGTGACGACCATGCATTGGAAACATTGTCGTGAGAAGACTGGGAATATCAGCAACCCCAACAGCTCCTGAAATATAATCATCACTTATCAGAGGACCAGTTATCGAGAGCCACAAGGCCGTGTAGGCAATATTCAGTATCCGCATGGGCCAGGAATGACGTAGTGAAGGAGACGTGGCCGCGAGGAGCAATTTTTGAAGTGTTATTCCCACAGGCTGTACCATGAAAAAAAGCCATGGACCTCTTAGCGGCCTTGATGTCCCAAGTTGTGTGTAGCTTCCACACGCATGTGCTGCTCCTACCATAAAAAAGATAATTCCCATGGTGATTGTTCGGCGTATGTGAATATTTTGATAAGCCCAGACTGGACAGCACGAAAGAACAGCCTCGGAGCAGCATTGCCCATCAAAGCGGTAGAGCTGATACCAAAAGCCTCCCCAAAAGCCAGCCAATCCATAGTCAAAAATTGCACGCGGCGATCCGAATAGGGGAGTGTAGGCCCATGCTTGCTCTTGGGGCGGGGAAGCAGATATTGAACAGCTTTGCCACTTTATCTGCCATTCTTGCCAGGAGTTTTCCCGCTGTATATAGCACCGAAATAGAATGTAGTACACCACTTAATCCTAGAAACATTCGGAAAAGGCGTAGGGCTGGCGGCCACCGTGCGAATATATTTGATGGGGACAATGAAAATGGTGGTAAGTCTGGCAGACCCCAGAAGTAAGGGTCTTGTTTCATCACAAAAGTCGTTAGGTCGAAAAGCAAGTAATGCCTTAATATGACCCATAAAAGCGAGATCGTTTTTATTTTTTTTGGTGCCAGCCAAGCCTTGCCCAGAATGCTGAGATGGATTGAGCAAAGATGATTGCAGTTGCTTTGGTAATAGATGCTTATGTCCGACGCTCCAATTCCAGGAAGCTCCTCTCCGTGTAAGGAATAAACCCATGGCCCAAAGGAAGCGATGAAAGAATGTGCTTGGATATGTCTGCCAGTGGATAGTCTCTCCGTTGTCCAGTTGGACGACGCCGCAATTATTCGCAGAGCACTGAGTTCGTTCGAGACGCGAGAACTCTTTCTCAGGTCTCCTGAGGAGCAGCATGACACCCACGCGGATTATAAAAGATGATATTAACAGGCCAACAAGATTTCCCTGGCCAATAAGTCGACCATGTAGAGTGTGCATCAAAGTGATACCCAGGGCTATCATGACGGCAAACACAGGCGGTCGTAGTTTGTGCAGACGAGGAATCGCCAGCACAAAGACAGGAAGAAAGAGAAAAATAAGAATAAAGATAATAATTTGTGATGAAAACTGGTTATCATCAGGAGAGGTAGATGCAAAGCTGCTCTCTGTACTGAAAAAGTTCGTCCATAGTTAGGGGAACTGTCATCTTGTGTACAATCGAAGCTGCTCTGGGTGGTGGAATGATAAAACTAAGTGATTCTTTTATAGGATCAACAACCTTCATGATGCCATAGTGCTACACAAATTACAAAATGGCTTTGGTGTACACAGAAATACTGGAAGCAAGAGAGGAAGTAATCAATTAACCACCTAGAACCTAGCCAATTTTGAACTAACCACCTATAATTCTCATCAGACATCCGATTTAAGGGGCAATCCTTACATGTAAGGGATATATACAAAGTTAAAAGAAAGACGTCCTGTATACGTAAGGGCCAGTGTATCACCCTTGCGAGTGGAGTTTGGGGTTGGTGGTCAGCACAGTTACTCAGCGTTGACCGCCTATTGTACGGCGGTTAATAAAGGCCATCAGTTGCATAGGAAAAGCAACTATTGCAGAGATTTTTGATATATTGATAGTTATGCGCTGTAATATAACCTCACAAAATTTTTTGCCCGATGGCTGCTATTAACCGCTGCACCTATCATCCACTGACGACTTGCAGAGGGCGCCACAAGCAGGGTTATACCTATGAATAATGCATGTCTTTCCTTTTCTCTCTACTCTCGCGCTAGCATCACCTCCTTTTGGAACTGTGACCCTTCTGTCATTTGATTGGCATATTTCGCTACCAAGGCCAGGCTAAACTTCTCTATCTCTTATAATGAAGCATAATCAGAACACCGCTGGCTACGAAGGTCATCCTCTCTCGCATATTATGCTTTACGTATGCTCGCTTGTGATGATTTACGTGGTGGGACAGACGTGGCTTTACCCTAAATATATTAGCCCGCTACGCCATGTTCCATTTGAAACTGTGAGAAAAGGTAACACAGGTGATGAAGTTGTGAGCCTGAGTTAGCCATATCAGAGTCCGTTATGCACCCTGCGAGGTTTTCTGGATCGTAAACGGCTTCTAAGCTGGAAGCAGGACCTACCAAAGGCCGATGTAGTTCCCATGTACGACACCATACTAGGCTACGAGTTCATTGCACCCATCACATATGGAGGATTGTTGTTGTGGAAGTCTTCCTATTGCTTTTTACTAGAGACAAATTTGGGCACAGAGATAACAGAACTGTAGATAGATATGATTGATTTACATGATGATATGCTCTCTTTCTATTCTTATAATACTATCAATAAGGTGCAGCGTTTAAAGCCTTTTTTTTTTTTTTTCCGGTATTAAAGGATATACTTTACTTAACCCTGGGAGCTAAATCTACTGCATGTCAGAATAAAGCATCACGATCAATATATCTAGAATAGTATTTAGGAAATACCTAGACATTGGTGTCCTATATATGGGACAAAGCCCGCCCTCTGACCGGACCTAAGCCGGGATAAAGTGCAATCTTCTTATATATAAAGAGACCATATCGTGCAAGCATTGTCTTCCTTTCTTGCTGTCCAGAGGTACATACCTCTCTGAATAATATCTTCTGGATTCAGGACCGCTCAGGCATATATATTTCTTGTAAATATTGAATTGGCATATTGTATCCCTCTCTGCTATATCATTTCCTGTAATGTAGTCATCATAGAACACATCCCATCATTGCGTGACAAATTCCGCTCGCTTACCTTCAAGTCGTTTAGCTTTCTTACTGTAGAGCCAGGTTGGCACCTTGACTAGATCTTAATAAGAATCAGGCTGACCCCCGATCTATTTTGTCAGTTTCGCAATCTCCTTTTTAAGAGCTACGATCTCTTGATCACACTCAAATGCGGCGATACCGGCAGCACTAAGATGGTAAGGGGCGTTAAGGTCTCAATAATAAGCCATACTCTGTTCCATATCACAGTACTCATAATCTGGTTCGAGATCGTAGAACAGTGCCTGTACGTCTAATGACTTCTTCAGCACAGACTGATACTTTAGGTACGTGTTGTGGCAAATTTTTAACTTTAGGATGAAAGAAGTAAGAAGCTACCAGTCATATATAATATACAAGTTGAAAGATTAATTCACAGTGCCCAGTTCTTAGTCGCTTTACTATGTCTTTCATATATCCTACACATATAGCGTCCATCATCAGCCCCAACGCTGAGCTTGGCACACACACCATGTCTCAGTACTGCTCAGCTGATACAAAAGTTAGATAAGAATTTACAAGTCATATACTCATCCATATACGTAGCACGTCGTGATCAATCGTCAAATCATTCGGAGCATCCCAGGCCAGTCGCAACCAATCACCGTCTGGACAGCAATCTCCCCACATCCTGGAGCTCAACCTCGTTCCCTTCAATGATAGGCGCTGACACATCAGCCCGTGAGCGATAGGAAGGGACCGGTGATTCGGGAGGATCACTGAAGTGGACACTGGAGCCGCGACGGCGATTGGAAGACGAATGGGAGTTACTGCGCAGGCCTCCAGGGCGGGAGAAGCTGGGTGATGAGGGTAAAGGGAGTTGGTGGGACAGGATGGATGAGGAGGTAGTATTGAGATGAAGTGTTCGGGCTGATCCTCCAATGTCCTGCGTGGAGGCGTTGCTTGCCCTGCTGGCATAACGTGAATATTGTGGAGTTGGGGCACTGGTGGGAGAGGTCGGGGTAGGATTGTTGAGAAGACTACCGACGTCGAAGATACGAAGGTTGGTGGTATCTGTCGAGGAGGATTTGCGCGGTGTCTTGTTGGTTTCGATGTACTCGTGCGGACTGACTTTGATGTCTAAGCTGCCCGTGCTGGAGGCCCGGTCGTCTTCACTGCCGCCGGAGCGCTGGTTGAAGGACCAGTTGGGGTCTAAGGTGCCGGCGCGGGCTGTCAGTGGATGGATGGGCATCGCGATGGGTGCAGGACGGGGTGTCTTGGTATCTGCAGAGCATAGTGACGGGTCCAGTCGGATACCCAGATCTGCAGCGAGATCGGAATCACTTCCCCACTGATGATGGGTGATTGTCTGACGACGCACGGAGCTGTGATCCATGCTTTCACTGACGGAGGCTGATCCTTGAGCCTTTTTGAACTTATTCTTCTTCGCACCCCTGTCACGCACGAATGAGCCTATGATGACAGCGTTCGAGACCGCCGTGGCGGCTAAGATTTCCAAAGATGCGACGAGCGAGCGGTATTGTTGTGACCCATCGTTCCAGATGACTGAGGGCACTCGATAGCATGTGATTCCGACTAGAATCAGAGACAGAGCGAACAGGATCACGAGGGAGACTTTGCGTTTCAGAGGCATGTGAGTCATCACGATGAATGGAATCGGGAAGGAGACGAGAAGCAAATCAGTCATCACGTCACAGGACCCCATTGTGATCAGGTTGGCATAGCCGAGGCGACATTTTGGACCTGGGTCAGGTACAACTTGCCAGTAATGGTCGAAGGGCTGGCATTCAGCGAGAGTAGCAATAATCACTGCCAACAATGTCGATGCCAGGAAGTAGTAGATGAATTTGAGGAATATTCGGAGGGATCGTCGCCAGATCTTGCCTGCCACTCGCTTGAGGAACTCGCATACTGTGAACTTGGCTATCCAGATGCTATTCGGATGGGAACGGTTAGAGCTGATCCTCGAGAGACACCCGGCAAGAAGAGGGACAACTTACAAGATAGCATAGAAGATGCGCGCCACAAGAACGAATTTACTGCCAATGACTCGATGATCAATGTCTTCGGCAGACAAGCCCACGGTCTTGGTATTATTGGTACCCCAGATTAGAACGACATGCACGCATGCCATGCGGATTAATAGCGGGATGATACTCGCCATCATCACCTTATCTTCGCGGAAGAAACGCTCAGTCCGAATATAGCGACCGCAAACCCGGACAACGATGATGGCTACTGAAAAGGCAGTAGCCCACCAGCTCACGAGCAGAGTGGGATTGTTTTGCTCCTTGGTCCGGGCATCCGGAGGAATATCGGAAAAGATCCCACGAGATTCAAGCATCCACTGTACATTCATGGCCGCTGTGCCACCTCCGAAGAGGGGCCAGTGAAGTGGAAGCTATCCCCAAAATCAAATAAAGATGTCCGAGTAGTTTCAGCAGCAGTTGATACGAAGCCGTGACGTTCCTTCGTACATTCACATCGTTCACTATTGGGATCGGTACCTGATAGGCACGTGCCCTACTCCGGATCTGGTGTGGGGAAGCCAGCTCAAAGAGGAGCCGGAAAGTTACGATGGTCGCTGTCAAGGACACCTGAGACCAGGTGGAGATGGCGATCGGCAAACGGTGCTGCTAGTAAAAGATGACAAGAGCTTTTCTCCTTTCAGTGGACGTGAGTGTGTCCCTGCTGTTAAGAATGTAATAACGATGACAGTAGTAAGAAGCTCGGACGCGATCTGTGGATTTGCGGGGGAGGCTTGAGACTTTCTCGCCAACCAGTTCTGTCCGGGAGAGTATCAATGTAGAAGAGGTGCCAAGTACACCACCGTTCTGACGTCGACTGTAAGTAATTATAAGAAGTAAGCAAGACTTGAACAGCAAGTTCACATCAGCGACGAAGTAAGTATTTTTGCAACTAGTAAATTGCGCGATGAGCGCCGCGTCAAACAAGGGGATTAGAGATAACAACACGGGGACCTCTACCACTGGCACTTATATCTTAACGGTGAAGCATAATATATTAAAGCTCGCATGGCGAGAATCCGCTAGACTTTGGGATGGGCCTACGGGTCATGGCGCGCTCGATAAACTTCGCGCTGGGGGGAAAGCGGAAGATAACGTAGACGGGAACGGTGGGCGCCGGATGTAGCCATGGAAGCTTGGGAAACCAAGGTTGCGCGAAATGATGGGGGGGGTGGGGGGGGGAGGAAATCCCGGAGAAAAAGAACCAAGATAACTTGGGAGCGTGGACCAGCCAGAGAGGAGCGATAGAGCAGGGGAAGAAAGCTAGTAGTAACTGGTGCCTAGCTCACCCATGGCGTCTAAAACAGCCAATGAACAGGGAATGGCTGGATGGACGGATACGAAGCCATCGTCCAGCTCACGAGATTGCTTGTGATATGGGGAGTTTGCCACATGATTTGCAGCTGATTTCGGGCATGATCGTGTGGGTGGACAATTCTTGCCAGCGTCATGACTCCTGCGAGGTGGAGATTATCGTTCCATACAGAGAGCAAACTGGCCATTGTGATCGGTGAAAAGAACAGGAGGTTATCCGCGGCGATAGGCCGATGATCAGTCGATGCGCCGGGAACCAACGCCAATCACCGGATTTCTCATCCATGGGAAGGAATGTCGGTCCTGTGGACAAGCAAGTTGCAACAGCAGCAGCAGGAGCAGCTGGAAATGATAAGCCCCTGATAGGGCGAGTGGCCAGGCCCGCTTACTGACAGCGTACATTAGCTGGGCGGAGCTAAACATGGGGAGTGGTTAGAGTGGACAGACGAACCTTGGGTGGGTTAGTTACTTACTTACTCCCCTCGCAGGAGGGGAGCTAAGCAGGAACCACAACTAACAAACAAAACAAAGGTTAAGTAAGAAAAAGCGAGTGACGGAGTGGAAGAGGAGACAGACGGACACTGTCCGAGCGGCTTGAGTGTCTCTATTTGTCTCCACTGCCCGGCTGCCTTCCAACTCAGTTGGCTATTGCTAGATTCAAATCCCTCAAATACCTCTCTCAGTTGGGTTCTCTACCCCAGAATAACCCTACAGCATATTCCAAATCCATCAGGCACTCATTGGACTGATCATCTTCGTTACACGTGAGATACTAGTACTGGGGCGATGGACCGGATGGACATAAAACATATGCGCAGAACCGAAGAAAAGCAAAGTATGTCAAGGCACCGGTTTATCTCCGTCATAACATGATTCGTTCTCTCCTCATGGCCAAACCAGGGATTCCCTGAAACTTTGGACACAGAGATAAGGCGTACTACTTACCTTTACTTACTTACTTACTTTTGCCTACGGTCGGAACCGATGCGCACTTGGCGATTTGTCGGTGTCCCGACCGGTCGATGCCGAGGACACACGCCTAACTGCCCAGGGGAAGCAACTCTCTCGTGGCCCATAAGCAGGCCTGATCCATGCAATCAAACTAATGCTCCGGAACGTTCTCCTCGTCGAATGATAAGGGGATCTCGACCTTTTCATTGTCCTGATCTATCTATGTGTCTAAAATAATCCAGTAGTGCTCAAAATGTACAATATCACCAAACGGTCATGAAAAGTCTAGACGCGAAGAATGCTGATAAGCCTAGTTCTGGCTCATCTACTTACTCCCTCAGGGACTGGATGTCGCCCCCCTTGAGGATGCTGTCCAGGACCACCCGCAGTTCTTGCAAGAACTTGGTGACCTCCTGCTCGGTTCCCACGGTGATTCGCAGGCAACCCTCGCAGCCAAGTTCCTTGCCACGGAACCGCACCACCACTCCCCTCTTCTCCGCCATGGCCTCGTAAGCAGCCAGCGCTGTCTTGTTGCTAGGTTTGCCGCCCTCGCTAGCCGGCTTATCTAGCATCTCGACCAGGAGGAAATTGGCCTCTTGGCCGCCAAGGAACCGGCCGACACCGGGGATCTTGGGCAGCTCCTGCACCAGCCGATTCCGCTGCACAATAATCTGCTCCCGGTACTTCTTCATCACGGTCATATTGGTCGGCGAGAGAGCGGCCGTGGCGATGGCACTGGTAGGGCTAGAGATGTTGTACGGGGCCTTGAGGCTGTTGAGGAGAGTTGCAATCGGGGGACTAGTGAACGCAACACCCAGGCGAATACCCGCCAGACCAAACGCCTTGCTCAGCGTTTGCATGACCACCAGGTTGGGCCACTCAGTCACCCATTCAGCCAGACTAGAGCCCTCCGGAGCAAAGTCAATGTACGCCTCGTCGACAACCACCACTCCGTTCCACGTCGGGTGCTCCAGCACCTTCTGAATATCGGCCTTCTTGATCAAGTTCGCGGTAGGGTTTCCAGGAGAGCAAATATAAGCCATCTTAATCGAGGAGTCTGCCGCCAGTGCCTCATTGATCTTCTCCGGCTGCAGTTGGAAGCCATTGTCCACATCCAAAGGCACCTTCACAATCTCGATATCGTTCACCTGCGCACTAACCCCATACATGCCATATGTGGGAGGGCAAGTGAGGATCTTATCCTTGCCCGGAACACAGAAACATCTCAACAGCGCATCGATAGCCTCATCCGATCCGACACCGACGAAAAGGTTCTCAGGCCCCAGGTCCTTCTGGGTGTGGGTGTGGGTGTTGCGCAGCTGGCAGAAAAGCTTCTTCAACTCGACCTGGTGACTGACACATTGACTTCTTTTAGCAATCCCAACAACAACAATTATATCACACAATATACATGAGCGACAGGTGTGTAGTGAAGGAAGGACCTTGTGCGATCGAGGGAATGAGCGGAGCGAGACTTACGGATCCGGATAGCGGTTCAAACCCAGGAAATCAATTTCTGGCTTGGAAGAACCCGTCGACGATCCCGTCACAGTAGACTCCTGCAGGGCACCTTCAGGGTTGAGGGCAAGGCCGGGGCCGTAGGCGTTCTCGTTGGCGTCGAGCAGGACGTTTGTTCCATCATCTTTGTAGTCACTGACTCATTAGTGCCTTCGTCACACAGGTAGCGGGGAGGTGGGGAGGGGGAACACACTCTCTGGCGCAACGGTAAGGCTGCAATTTGAGGATGTTAGGGCGCGCGCACTTGGCGAGATCGAATGGAGCCATTGTGAATGGGATTGGATGTGTGATGAGCGAGAGTATGTTGGTGGGGAGAGGAAGAAAGAATGACTAGGCGGGGGGAGTCATCGGTGGCGGGGAAGTTGATCGGCGGAACTCCCGGTGTCGGCGGGAGTGTCGCTCCAGGTACTGCGGCAATTGTTCAGAGTATAGAAATAGGCAATACGGACAAAGTCTTAATCCAACTATTGTACAGTTTGTTATTCATCTATCTATCTTTTCTCTTATGTAATGCTCCATACCTTCTATATACTGTCGGCAGTCCTTGATTTTCGGATCATTTAGGACTCTCAAGATGATATACTAGATACACACATGACTACCAATGCCGTGCAAGCAACAACGCCTCAAATGCCTTCAAACAAATGTCATCTAAAGTTGCCCATGTCCCTTCAGGATTAAGAGGGCAATCATGCTTTAGTCATAAGTTTCTATTCTTCAGCTGCATCGGAAGTCTTGGCCTTTTTGCCGGACTTCTTGTATTTATCTTGCTTCTCGCGCAAGTATCGCCAGGTTCGGCTGACTCCCGAGGTCAGGAGACCCTTCGCCGATTGCACCGTACTGGGCCAGCGGATGGTCTTTGCAATGGTAGTCTGTACTTCTTTCGTGAGGTTCTTGTCATCGGCGATCTGCTGTTCGAATGGACCTCCTTGCCTCCGACGCACTAAGTCGGAGTCGTTGTTGTTGCTCTCCTTCATCATCTGGTCGAACTCGACCCGAGGGATTTGATAACGGGTCTGGTACTGGAAGTAGAGCTTCTCACGGAAGGAGTCAGGCAGACGGCGAACCATGTTACCACGCTTGACCGGATCCATATCCTGTGTGAGGCGCACGTTGGCTTCGGGATCATCGATCCAATCGCCCTCCGTGCAACGCTTGTCGTTGAACGTGACATTGGGCAAGTTCTCAATTAGGGGCGCGTATAGTCGCCGGAAGTTAGCCATCTGCGACGACACGATGTTGTTCACCTTGCGGGGATCTTCCGCTGGCAGTGCCATGCGCAGATCACCCATGTAGCTCATGCTTGCAATGGTACTGTAAAGTTGAAACTCGGTAAACTCAGCCGGAAGCAGCAGTAGAGCTACTCGAACGGCGGATAGCAGGTTCATTTGATTCGCCAGTCGCACCTTCGGGTGGTCACGCAAGATCTTGACCGGCTTTTGCAGCCGTCCAGCAAGATACAAGGTATCCCATTGGCTGAGATCCCGGCATAGTGTGTCAAGGTTCACGACCCCATATTTGATCAGTGTGCCATTTACTGTGATGTAGGGGTTAAAGTAGACGCCGGCGCCGATACGATCCTGCACTTGGGATACCATATAAGAGCCCAAAGAGCCCAGGCCAGAGTAATGGTCTCGGTGCTGGCTCAGATTCAAGGAGTGCCAATGTTGGGAGTATGATACTCCAA